GCTGTGTGGCCTTAATTACGTGACTCAGTCTTTTTACACTTTGGCATCTGTGGTAGAAATTGCATACACTGTGCCCAGCTGCTAGGGCATTTTATTAGGAGTCCATGAGATAAAGAAGGTAAAAGACCTGGCTGAGCGCAGGCTGCTCAGTAAACACTCAATAAATGCTGATTATGACCTTCTTTTTTTTTTTTTAAGTATGCCCTTGTCCTGCACCAAACTGAAATCTACTGAGGGGCAAGGCTCCCAGCACCTGGCACAGCATGCCAGAAAGAAGTGGCTGGCGGACACTGGAGTCACAGGGGAGCAAGCAGATCCAGGGATTGCAAAAACTGCTAACGATGTGGAAATCTGAGGCAATCGCTGATCCAAGAAAAGCAGCACCTGAGGGCAAGGGGCAGCAGGCAGCTAAGGGCAGAAGACCACGCACACACCACCCTGTGCCTGGCAGGTTTCTGCCATCTGGGCACCCTAGGTCCCATTCATGGGCCTCTTCACATTTCCCCAGAGGTTTTGTTTTGTTTTGTTTTTCTCAAAGTGTGTGACTGCACTGTCATCTGTCACTTGTAGGTCTATTCTGGGGAGAGGAAAAAAAAAAAGAAGAAAAATAGGAATCCAAGAACATAGACCCCAGAGGCCCAGACTCTGTCCACTCAAGCCCTAAAGCAAGGAGCTGGCAGCCACTATTTAGGAAAAACCAAGTTGTGAACACTAACTACACAAAAGGATCCTTGAAGAGTTGTCCCCAGAAACTTCTGTAGTCAGCCAGTAAGGAAGAGACGGTCTAGTGGTGGAGTTATAATCCAAACCCTGCAGGTCCTCGATCTCCAAGAGTTGGATGAAGAACCACCCTTAATTGCCCCCACTACTACTTCAGGGACAAGGACACAGGAAAATGGTCCCTAATGGGCATATTGCCTTTCTTGAACCAGTGGCCCAGAACCCCATGATGTGAGAGAATGTGAAATGGGGAACCAGGATGATCCTACAACAGTGAGCATGGTTTCCCAGTCAGGTTGCACAGGAAGGACACTTTAGTGCCCACCCCAGGCTCCCAGCCAACTGTAGGCATCTTCTTCCCAAGGTACACCTGAGCACCTCCATGAAATGGATGTGAATAGATGGCCTCCATGGGGATTTTTGACTCACAGCAACCCGGTGTGACAGAGTAGACCCGCCCTATAGAGTTCTCTAGGGAGTGCTGGTGCTTTAGTGGTAAAGAATTGTGCTGTGCTGTTTCACAGGAGAAAGGTAAGTAATCTCCTCCCGAGATATTTACTGCCTCTGAAAACCCACTCAAGTCGTTCCAGTTCAATGGTATATAACAACCACATACAGTTTTCTAGGCTGTAATCTTTATGGGGTAACCAAGCTGCTCCTTGGAGACATGGATTTTGAAGCTCTGTCTCACAAACTTTGGGCATGTTGCCAGGAGGGACCAGTCCTTGGATAAGGACATTATGCTTGGAAGGGTGGAGGGACAGTGCAAGAGAGGAAGACCCCAGATGAGATTGATTGACACAGTGACTGGAGTAATGAGGACATATGCATCAGAGACAATGAGACTGGCTCAAGATAGAACAAGACTCAAAGCTAGTTGACTCAATGGCACATAACAACAACAACAACAATCTTTATGGGAGCAAATTGGCAAAGCTTTCTCACAGAGCCACTGGGTAAGGTTTGAACCACCAGCTTTACAGGTTAGAGCAGTGAGGGAGGTCAGTTAGGAAAGTGTTGGGCCAGGCTAGAACCTTAACGCAGGTCAACCTTGGGCAGGATGTTGGCAGCAAGGTACAACCTGTCTTCAAGGCTGTTTTTCTGCTAAGATTTCTGAGCAATTCAATCACAGCTTAGGCGCCCTGTGATTTTCACTATGGCAACAGTGGGAGGCAAGGAAAGTGGAGCATCTAACTCAAATGAAGTTGTTTCTGCCCTCAAGTCTCAGCATTCATCTGTACAATGGGAATGCTCCTATCCTGCCTAGTGAAAAGATTGTGTTAGTAGCTCCCAGTTTAAGAAGCCAGTGACCAGGTAAAGCACCCTAGTGACAGTCAGGTGAGCACAGCAAGCAAAATGGAAAGGACACAAGGTCAGAGCAGAGACACCAAGTTCCTCTCATTCCACACCTCCTTCCAGATTCCGTCACAGTGAAAGAATGCCACAGCAAAGAAAAAGGAAACCTGAATGCGGAGACAGGGAAGAAGGTGCCCGAGGCAGAGAAGACTGAGGCCTCTCACAGGCACCTTACTTCCCCAGCCTCCATCTGAAGCCACCCTCCCCACCTCTAAGACTCTCTCAAATCCCTCTGGAGAGGGGCACCAACAACTCTAAGCTGTGGGCCAAAGTCATTGCTCCAAAATCAATGACTTTCTGACTTTGAACCTTTGTAGGGAAATAATTTGGATATTGTGACTCAATCATCAAATAACTGGGAAATGCAGAATTGTAATCAAATGATCAGAATTTATATCATAAGAATTCACTTGTTCTTCATATCTAATTATGGGTTCTGCCTTTCTCTCTCTTTGCTCATATACACACAGACACAATGAGCACCTTGTTTTCCAGACTAGATTATAGTAGATTAGAGACATGCCAGAATGCTCCTTGGAGGCAAGGATAGTGAACCATTCGTCTCACATGCTTTGGGCATGTTGTTAAGAAGGGCCAATCCTTGGGAAAGGAGATCATGTTTAGAAAGGTAAGAGAGTCAGGTCAGCAAAGGAGGGGAAGACCCTTAATGAGAGGCACTGACTCTAACCATGGGCTGTGTCCGACATGATCAGGATGGCACAGGATAGGGCACGGTTCAGATCCACTGTTAATAGGGTGAGCTGTAATTCAACTTAAAGTCACTTAAAAACAACAAGAATCTTCTTGGAAGGAGCCCTGGTGGCATAATAGGTTAGGTAAGGTGTTAGTCTACTAATCAGCTGAGAGAAAAGCTAAGGCATTCCCTTTCATAAGGCAGTCTCCCCCCTTTAAGGTCTGAAACTCTGGAAACTCAGTGGAGGATCACCGTATGTTGGAACCAATTAATGGAAGTGGGCTTGGTTTTTGGTTAAGAGTTTTCTTCCCCCTGCAATAAACCACCTTTTTCCAGGAAAAAAAAAAAAAGAGTTTTCTTCCCCACTGATGGTATTTTCCATATCCCAGGACACCCAAACTTGGACTATTAATGAAAGCTCAGGGACAAATAAAATAAAACAAATTTGTCACCCTTGGGGGCAAAAAGTCAGAAGGGTATATTTAGCTGGGAGCAAAGGAGTAGAGAGCAACCCTATGACAATTGAATTGCTTAAATCTTCTTTTCAAGGGTCATTACAGTGTCTATTTTAGGTCAAAACAACTATGACTGTGGTGGCAGAAAGATTTGAACTTGTAGCTAACGCACCAAGAGGCGATCTTGATTAACTATCAGAGGTTTGTTTTGTAAATGGAGCCCAGAAAGCAGCTGGCAAAGCTCCTGGACAGGTCAAGGCAATGGCCACCTACAATGGGGAGCCCTGGGGAGGGGGAGAAGCATTTCAGATCAACTCACCTTCGCTCCTCTAGGAGCCTTCCATAGCCAAAAAGCAGCCTGGGAACGAAACCCAGGCCGATTTACTGGCGGAATTATCTGCCTCATTATTCCGCCAAGAGTGAGTTGTGTGGATGCTGGAGTTTTAATTACACCCTTTCTTTTTCTGGGGAAGAAGACCAAAGATCATGTTTTTCAAAGCATCAACTTGTTTTCCTTTAGGCAGTTGTTGTAACAAGTTCTTCGGCGACATGTTATGTCTTTAGGAAAGGGTGCTTGAGATGGCGCGCACTAGCACAATTTTGTGGCTTTTAATTACTATTTTGTTCTTTTGGGGGGTTTCAGAGACTGGCGCCTCGGCGTGATTAGACTGTCTACGGGGCCTGCCGCAGCTGCGCGCACCGCCCACCAGGTGGCGCCGCTAGCCAAGCGCCGTCAGGGGACCGGCAGCCGCGGGGTCTCCCCCGCCACCGGGCCACCACGTCCAACAGGGACGTAGACGTGGACAGGAGGTCGCCACTTCAGATTTTTTTTTTAAAGGAGTCATTGTAGTAGATAGAATAGAGTTCTAGTGAGCAAAGTGTTAAGATAGGATTAAATTAAATACACAGGTAAAACATTTTTACGCTGTAAACTTAGAATAATGATAGTATTGAGAGGACTCGCAGCTAAATATGATTCTACTTTATTTTTTTTTTTTTTAAAAGAACATAGACTTTGGCGTTCAAATAATTTTGAAGGCCATTTGGTCACTCTGGTCTAGATTTCTGCCCGAAGTGGGGGAAGTGTCCATTATCTTTTGGAGTATCAATTAGCCACCAAACATACACAATTAATTACTCAGAGCTTCTATGAGTGTGTAAAGTACAAGGGGAAAGTGGTTTCAAATATGTTCTTAATTGTGATACTCTGGTTTATTTAGCTTTTCTCCCAAGCAACAAGAAATCATTTCAATATTAGCTTATTCGTTGTCCTAATATCTGAGGGTTGGTGAGGTATCCAGTATTCTTACTATTCTTATTCGAGGTTTATTGATCATTTCAATCAATTGACTGGGGCAAGTGCCAAGAGCTGACAAGAGTAAGTGCCAGACACTGGGTGGAAAAAGTGGAGCTGGAGTTGACTTGGCTCTCGGCACCGATTTCTTTTGATTAATGTGTCTGAAAACTGACTTGGAACATAAAAGGACTCATCCCTGAACGTGGTAGGCACTCTCACAAAAGTGTGCAGGACGCCGCTGTCTCTCCTCTGTGGCCGCCTTCCGGGGGAACTGGCCCCCCTCGAGCAGTCCCGCCCGGGCGCGCAGTCCCTGCTGGGGCGCCCACTCCGCGGCCTGGGGCCCTGCTGAGCGCGCAGCGCCCCCCGCCGGGCGGACCCCAGCCCGCAGCCTGGCGCCTCCGATTGGCTGTTGCTAGGTGACGTCGCCTGCGCTCACGTGACGCGTGTTAAATGCCCACCCTGCAGGAGCGCGCCGGGCAGACAATCGTAAAGGCGCTCGGGGCAGCTCACCTGCTCCCGCCTCCCGGAGCCCGGGTCCAGCCCCTGCACCCCTGCCCCCTCTGCTGCCTGACCCCATCCCGAGCCTGTGCCGGGCCTGGAGCCGACCGGGAGAAGGCAAGGATGCGGCCAGGGGCAGCTGTCTCGGGCATCGCATGCTGATCGCCTCCCCTGGAGGAGGAGGCGCCTAGACCGTTGCCACTTTTCTTGTTTTCTCGCCCCCCCCCCCTCCTCCTGCTCACTCCCCATAATTACATTGGCTGCTGGAGAGGACAAGGAGAGACGGAGGAGGCGCCTGGCTTCCCCCGCGCGCCTGCCACCCCTGGCCTTTCCCGTCCCAGGTCAGGATGACTGGAGTTTTTGACAGCCTGGTTGCTGATATGCACTCGACCCAGATTACGGCCTCCAGCACGTACCATCAGCACCAGCAGCCCCCGAGCGGCGGCGGCGCCGGCCCAGGCGGCAGCAACGGCAGCAACAGCAACCTCCACAAGCCCCAGGAGTCACCCACCCTCCCGGTGTCCACAGCCACCGACAGCAGCTACTACACCAACCAGCAGCACCCAGCGGGCGGCGGCGGCGGGGGTTCGCCCTACTCGCACATGGGTTCCTACCAGTACCACCCCAGCGGCCTCAATCACGTCCCTTACTCTACCAAGAGCGGCTACGACCTGGGCTATTCCACCGCCTATAGCTCCTATGCGCCCTACGGGACCAGCTCGTCCCCCGCCAACAACGAGCCTGGTATGCGTTCAGGGTGCTGAGCCGGCCTAATAACGAAGGAGGGTGGGACAAGAATGCTTGGCGCGGAGGCCTTTCGGGAGCCCAGCTCCCCGCCTGTTCGGAGCATTTTATCCTCCCCAGCCTCCACTCGGCAGGGGGTCCCTGGGTATGTCTCTCCACGCACAACTGATGGGCCTGGGTGGCATTAGAGATCAAGGGGGTGCGCAGTGCATGTCTCATAGTAACCCCAGTTTCCTTTCCACCTGCTTCTACTTTCTCTTCGGTGTGCGCCTAACTTCTGCGGTGGAAGGTCCCGCTGCCGGGTTCAGGGAAGGCTTCGACCCGCACTTTACGAATTGCGCCAGCTCTGTGTCTCTGAGCGCCCTGGGCGGGAACTCGGGGACCCTGCCCCGGAGCTGTGGGGCTGTAACGGTTGCTTTTGGTTGCAGAGAAGGAAGACCTCGAGCCTGAAATCCGGATAGTGAACGGGAAGCCAAAGAAAGTCCGGAAACCCCGCACCATCTACTCCAGTTTCCAACTGGCAGCTCTTCAGCGGCGCTTCCAAAAGACTCAGTACCTGGCCCTGCCCGAACGAGCCGAGCTGGCAGCGTCTCTGGGCCTCACCCAGACTCAGGTGGGGGCTCGAGGCCTGCGGGGGCGAGGGGCGCCAAACCTGGTCTGGCCGCGGAGCAAGCGGGCTCAGGAATGTTTACTCAAGTAATTGTATGGATTTCTAGGCCTGCGTGCCTCGGGCAGCGTAGACTCCAGGGCCGGTAGCCGGGAACCCTGCGGGGACCTCTGCCTGGGAGGGAAGGGACACTGCTGGGGCACAGGTCAGCACCATGCTGGCTAGCAGCGCGCTACTAATTAAGCGGGTAAAATAGCTGGTCCTGCTAACTCCTGCCTGCTGTCACCATCACCATGCCAGTAGCTTTGGGCCTTTGGGGACTACTTCTCGGTGGAGCGGATGTGACCGCTGCCTCGCTGTATCCAGAGCCCTCTCTAGCCACCCATGCCCCAAGGCCAAAATGCAGCCACTAACGCTCTGGTCCCTTTCCCACAAAGGTCAAAATCTGGTTCCAGAACCGCCGGTCCAAATTTAAGAAGATGTGGAAGAGCGGCGAGATCCCCTCGGAGCAGCACCCGGGAGCCAGCACCTCGTCCCCGTGCGCTTCGCCGCCGGTCTCCGCTCCCGCCTCCTGGGACTTCGGCGCCCCGCCGCGGATGGGGGGCGGCGGCCCGGGCAGCGGCGCGGGCAGCTCGGGCTCCAGCCCCAGCAGCGCGGCCTCGGCTTTCCTGGGCAACTACCCGTGGTACCACCAGGCCTCCGGCTCCGCGTCCCACCTCCAGGCCGCAGCGCCGCTGCTGCATCCCACACAGACCCCGCCGCCGCATCACCATCACCACCACCACCACGGCGGCGGGGGCGCCCCGGTGAGCGCGGGGACGATTTTCTAACGCCGCGGAGCCGGCGCCAGAGACTGAGAGAGCGGGAGAGCAGAGTCGGCGGTGGTTCAGAGTTCGCTCCCAGGGGAGGCCTCCGCCCACCGCGCCCGCCTGCCATCCCGAAGCTGGAGACCCGGCGGCGTGTCCACTCCCCGCGCGCGGGTCCCTCTGCAGGTAGCCAGCAGCAACGGCGCAGCAGAGGCTGCATACCCCGCCTCCTTGGTGACCTGCGACGGAGCCCAGGCTGCGCGGAACCCCGCCTAGGCCGCGCCTCCCGCCGTCCCCGCCCAGCGAGTCCACCCGGCGCCGACCTCGCCCCGGGCCGCGAGCTGAACCGAGGCGCGCGCGGCTCCCCCGCCCGCCAGGCGTCCAGGCGCTCAGAGGCGCCTTTCTCCTCGCCCGCCTCCGGCGCTGCTCCCGCCGCTCCGGTCAGTGACCTCCCAGGGTCCCGCCTGCCTGCCCGCCCCATGTGCCCCCCTGTCCCCGGCCGCCCTGTCGCTGTTGGCAGCCCCCAGAGCCCCTCCCGCCTTAGCGCCGCCCCAGGAACGCTCCCTTAGCGCTCTCGTCCATCAACAGTGGAGTTTTTTTATTTTTATTTTTTTAAAAGTTTTAGGTGCCTTTGCGGATGACCTCATTTTGATGTTGGAAAAAAATGATTTTTTAATATGTGGACATTGCAAAAAATGTGTTTAAATTATCTTTTTTAAAACCTATTCAGGATTATTAGCCTGGACTTCGACACGGGGTTTGTAAATAAAAGTGTCTGTGCAGATATTTCCCACTGATTTATTTGTATAAAAGTATTCATCTTTGCAGACTTTTTTGTAAACCTCCAGTGGTGAAGACTGCGGTTTAGCAGTGACCTCAGCAACCTCTTAGTTTTATTTTTTTTTTCCCTTTAAAAACAAAACAAAACAAACAAAAAAAAAAACCTCAGTCAAACGAAGCTACTGATTTGGATTTGTTTTGTCTTATCCTAGGGTCTTTGTTCTTGAAATGAAAGGTATTTTGGGGTTATTTATTATGAAAACAACATGCTCTTAATGTTGATTTTACAATATGAAGAGATTATTTAAATAAATTATTGTTTTCATTGGAAGTGTGCGCTTTTTGTTCTTGGGAGCCATTGCTCCGTCTGCCACACGCTGGGAGTGGGACCCGACCTCAAGCCGAGAACCTGGTCACCCGAGACATTTGCATCTTTCGGAGGTTTAGCGCAGCGAGGTGGCGTGAGGCGAGGACCTGCACGCTTGGCTCCAGGCTGAGACGGAAAGTTCACGCTCCGCCCCCGGGTCAGGGCGCCCGGTTCGCCGGCTCCCTGCGCGGTGAGTCACTCAGCGCCGGGCGACTCCAGCCTCCGTCCGCCGGGTTTCTTGGGCGCCGGCGCCGCTGCTTCGCTCTCAGGCCCGGGCCAGTCTCCACCGCCCCCGCGCCCGCGGTGCTGGCCGGACCTTCCATTCGGGGTCACCGCGAGGACCCCTCGTCGCGCGGGCCAGTGCTCTGAGGCAGCCGCGGGTCTTTCCTACTGGAAAGCATCCCTAGACGCTCCGTGGCAGTCACGAGAGTTGAGAGTCACCCCCGCACTCGAGGCGCTGCTGGCTGCTCTGGAATGCAAAGCAACCTCAGTGCACTGGGCCCGCGTGCACACGCACTGTCACCTGCAGAGTCACCATATATACTCTCACACTCATGCTGTCATACATTCAAGCACACATAGTTATGCACTCAGTCATGAATCACACATACATAAATTCATACAGATACACAAATTCACATACGCTCACACATTCACACACACCGATACACAATTGAGTACATTGCACACAGGCACGTATGTGTGATCCTAACAGCATGGTATGCTTTGACCTTACAGTTCAGTTTTGCTTCCCACGGTGGGCCCCCTCACAAGGAGTTTTCAGACTTGAAAATTGGTCTACTTCCTGCCATTCCACGTTTGAAAATGGCCCTACTTTCTGGTAACTAGGTAGGTAATGCAGGCCTCAAGTCCCTTCCTTGAGAGTGTTGGAGCCTGCGGTTAAACGCTTCTTGCCTTCAATCACTGGAAGGCTGTGTGACCTCAGGCAGCCCATTTAACCTCTCTGTGCCAGTTTCCAGACCTTCCAGAGTTGTAAGTATCCAATGATGCAATAACCTAGTACATGGTAAGAACTCAAATGTAGCGATTAGTGGTATTTTTGTATTAGCACAGTGCCATCAAACAGGGAAGTTTTGCTTGCAACTATGGGGTACAGAATTACCCAGAGGCCTTTGCAATTCTATGATGTGTGAAGAGCGGCATTCTGGGCCTTTCATGCCTGGGAGCCTAAACCTCAACCATTCTCTTTGAAGGGACCTACCTCAGCTGGAAAAGAGACTGAAGGGCGGGCCAGAGAGCTCTGCTAGCCAAATCCAGGCCTCCTCTCCTAAAGTACGGATATTTTGGACATCATTGTATGTCTTCAACTAATGGCTGGGTGGCAGGGTGGTGAGGGAGGAAGAGAGAAGAGGGCATGGTGCTGGAAGACTTTCTTAGATCAGTGACATCACCCTGCGGGAATCCTGATTTTTCTGCCCATAATGATTTGGGGCCTGTACCAAGTTTGACTTACAACAGAGTTTGGCCCATAAAGTTGGGGCCCTAGGGGTGCCCCAGAGACTGCACATTTCCAGTCTTACCTTGCACGTCTGTATTGCTTTCCAAGCCCAGGAAGGCCAAGGCTGAAGCCGGTTGACCTGTGCTGGATTTTCCTAAGGAGCCATTGCCAAGCAATGCCTTGCCATCCCTGCCCTCCCCAAGCCCAAATTCCGTGGTTTCTCTGAGTGCCAGGAGCTGGTGCCAGCCTTCCTCCTGCGGTTGACTGTGTCCTCCCCTCTTCTGTGAGCCCACCCCTCCCCCCACCCGAAACCGACGACGGAGAGACGGGGCAGTAAATTGGCTGGTGTCGAGGATCTGCTGCAGACAAGATGATTAAGAGGCCTGCGCCGGAGCGCCCGGGGCAGGGAATGTCAGCCCAAGTTGGAATCACGCAACAGGCCTTGGCATGAACCGAGCCTGGGAGCCGGGAGGGCGGGCGGCCCCGGCTCCGGGGTGGGCCGAGGCCCCACAGACTTGCCGGAGTCACCGAACCTGGCACCCGACGCAGCGAGGTCGGGCTCGGCCAAGGCGCTCTTTTCCCGGGGGAGCGAGCCGGCAAGGCCGAGGGCATGATGGTGCCCGGGCCAGGGGAAGGGGGCGTTTCCGCAGCCTCCGAGAAGCCCAAAGAAAGAGGAGAGAGGACCCGGCCAGGTCCCAGAAGTGAAGGGGCGGGGAGAGGGAGGGGTGGGCGAGCGGAGAAACAAAGGCGGGCTCCGGGAGGCGGGAGGCGGCTCCAGCCTCGCCAGGGGCGACGGGCTGGCAAGCGTTTCTCACAGTCCGCGGGCCGCCCGGAGCCGCGGAGCCCTGTGATCAGCCCGCTGCCGCACAGACACGCTCCCCCCGCGCCCGCCTGCGCTCCCCAAAGAGCAAATGAAAAATGGAAATGGGAAGCGGCGACCTGGCCTCCCTACACTGGGAAAGGGGACGCTTTCTGAACGCACATAAATCTTCATTGTAATCCCCTTCCATTTGCTCACGTGAATTATCAGGCCAGAGACAGGATGTGACAAGCGCTGGGAGGCAGAGGGGAGGGAAGCCGAGGAGTGAGTGTGCCTGGCCCTCCCTGCTCCCTCGGCCCGCAGGGCTGCTCCGACTCCGGAGCGCCGCTCCGCTCCGGGGCGTTCCCTGCGTTCCCGCCCCCGCGCTGCGCGGCTACCCCGCCAGGCGTTGCGCTCAGCCCGGTGCGCGCCCCCTCCACTGGCCCTGCTTCCCGTCCCCTCCACTGGCCCTGCTTCCCGCCGCCGCCCGGGGGACTCCTGAGCAGGGAAGAAAGGGATCGGATCTGGGGCCTAATCAATGCGGCTGCAATGTGGGTCCTTTTAGGAGGCCTTCCATTGGCCTGCTTTCAGTATTGTGAAAATAGTGAATATCCGTCCTGTCTAAGGATTTCCGAGACTGGTGGGCAAGCGGGGGGCGGGGAGAAGTATCAGGTTTGATGGGGCGGAGAGAGAGCGGGAAGACTGAAGCTTTGTTTACAAACAGCTCTGTGGTAGTAGACTCAGGAGGCGGGAGAGGGAAAGGGGAAGTGGAACAGTCCCCTCTGCTGTGAAGAGCCCCTGAAATAAAATACCCGTTTCAAAGAGCCCTCCCACCTCACCTTGCCTTTAAAATAGCCTTTCTGATGGCTCAAAAGCCCACAACAACAAAACCTAAACAACTAAGCGCAACTCTCCACCAGCACTTGAGCAAAAGTCACAAGCGAGCTTGGCTTCTTTCCCGCCAGGAACAGCGACCACCGGAGTCTTTAACCTGTTTAGGATCAGAGGCTCCAGTGAGAATGAAGCTACCTATTTCCCTCGGCTAAAATAGACATTTGGGGTCCCGAGCTGGGAGAGTATGGGGGGGCCATGCAGGGCCCTAGCTTTGCACGCCCTTGGTGCTGGTCAAGCAGGCTCCGGAGACCCGCGGCTGCCCGTAGGGTCTTGACATTGGGAGCAGTTCCAAGGAGTTTTCGCGCCAGGCAAGCCACCCACCCCCACCGGAGCAGACGGATGCGGAGGCCCACAGCCCTGGGAGACCCCCCTGGCGGAAGTTCCCCTTGCGGGGACGGGTTTGGCAATGATTGTCACATTACAAGATGTTACATTCCGCCCTGGGGCCGGGCGGGGCGGGGGATGGGGGAGTAGACTGCTTCTTGCAAAGAAAGAACGTACAGGCGAGTCTTGAATGAACAGCCGCTTGGCGTCTCCGTGGAGAATGCCTGCAGCCTCCAGACAAACCTTTTTCCCTGAGCTGGTTTTCCCTCGCCTTCCGGGGCCAGAGTGCAAACACTATATAGACTAGTGGCAGTTTCCCCGACTCCGAGACAGGGCTCCAAAGGTTCTCCACAGGCCTTTTGGGGAGGTACCCCCACTTACTGCTTCCCCGGCTAACCAGCTTCGCACTGGATGCAAATAGGGACGCAGAG